CCATCTTCCACGGTGAGAAACCAACGTGCAGGCTGCCCGGAGGCTGAAAGCTCAGAGTTTTCTCCAGGAAGGGGAGGGAAGCTGCAACACAGCCTTGAATCGAGCCTCCCAGGTCGCAGGTAAGCGTGCAGGCACCCCAGTTGGTGCCTTACCTCAGCTGGATAAGGCTGCAAGCCACCTAGCTGAACTCTGAACTTGGAGCGTGGGTTGGACTAGATGGTCTCCTGAGGTCCCCTCCAGCCACAGTTATCCCACGATTCTGCAACCGAAAAGCGTGATGCTGCCTGCAGGTCGGTGACAAACAAACATGGGGCTCAGGCTGGGGAAGCCATCAGTGATGGTGGCTTTCACCTCAAGCTCATCACATCAGCAAAGCACCTCAATGGGTCATGGGGGGTGTGTGTAAAGAGGCCCCCACATACAGTACGTAGCCAGGTAAGGGACTAAGCGACCTCAAGACAGCGGATTTGGAAAAATATGCAACAGACAGATTAACAAATTGATAGTATTTACTACTGCTTGTGTTGAAGCAAGTCTTGCCCACTCTTTAGGTGACTTGCAAGTGTCAATGTATTTTTCCTTTTCCACTTCTCAGCTTCCAGGACTGGCCAGGAAAAGGTACGGAAGATCTGAGTTCACACCAAGGCTTGAGAGCAAGAGGAAGCAGCACCATGGTTTTAACGCAGATGGCACAGACCAGGCACACTCTTTAGAACGCAGTGCGACTCTTAACGCCCTGCAAGCACCAAGGACTCAAGTCATTTTCCCCACAGTCCATTCATTTTCACCACCACCCATCAGGTAACATTTACAGAGGTTTTTGAGCGGGGACAGGGGGGAAGAGGACTGGGGTTGGGGTCTTTTTTTCCAGGCAGCTCATTCTCTCACCTAACTCCCAAGATTTAAGGTGATTTAAGCACTTAAGGATTAAAGGCGTTTTAACAGCTTATATTGCTTTAAGGATCTAAGGTGGCTTAAACGCTTATGCTACTTTCAGGGGTTTAAAGCGGCTTAGCTGTCCATGCCACTTGATGAATTTACGGGAGCTGAAAAGCCTATGCTCCCTTTAAAACAATAAAAATGTACCTTAAAAACATCATTGTATTTTAAGAGTGCCGTCCTGCTTGGCTCCCCCAGGTCGCACCAGGTCGCTCAAGGCTTTATCCTGGAGGGTGCCCAAACCCTCCAG